AATTGCGAACTCTCCTCTGAGAAATTGTAAATGTTAATTATCGAAGATCTGATTAAAGTGTGGCTCCACAGCCTCAGACATTTCTGGGTTAAGGTCACTCGGACAAACACAATTTACTCCACTGATCCTTCGTCCTCAGGAGAAAATAAGAACAGTGAGGATGAAGAGGTTCTCACGTGTTCTCTGGTTTTGTTCTTGACTTGACTCTTGACTAAATCTTTATAGACACAATCAAATAACAACAACAGGACAGACGTGTGAGGAGATAATAAAATTTAACTGTCAGTCAAAGTGGCCTTGTATAGTCTGACATCAACTTCCCCGTCGTAAAATAAATGTGCCTCAAACTAAAACAGCTTCAAACGTAAATTTGAAATGACAGTTTCAGTATTTTTCACTCGCCCACACAGCAACACAACCCTCACCCTGCTCTACACTGACAATTATCCTGATTCTCCATCAGACGTTAGAGGTAATTATAGAGAATAGGTTATGATGCTTTGTTTTCTCAAACTAAAACAAATGAAAAACTGCACAGACACGAGCCTGAAAGAGAAAAATTGAATCATAGTTTCTACATTTTTCTACGCAGGGAACTTCAAGTTCCAGAAAAGACAATCAACCGTCTGTCAAGTTCAACAAATCTCTTTAAAAGAGTTTTGAGTTTTGTCAGTATTCTCCTTCGTTGGGGAAGTAGCTGCAGTTTAGATCCCTGAGTCTCTGGATTCTGTTTTTATTGAGCAGATGTGTTTGTTTTCACATTCTTCAAGTTGAGTTTGTGTGAATAACAGAGAATCACTCATTCATGGTGCAGTGACATGAGAATATAACAAGTAAATGTGATGGTGCACAACAGTACCTTCATTCAGGTTGATATATGTTTCTCAGATAATTTAACTCAGTAATTACTGAGATAATGTTATGTATTTTTATCATTTTGGACAAAACAAGTTAAAGATTTCCTTCAGGGATTTAGTTCTGCAATTTCATAAAATTGAGCAACTTTTTCAAAACTCTGGATTGTCGTTGAGCGGCCGTCAGCTGCTCTGTGGTTAAAGCTGCTCTGTGGTTAAAGCTGCTCTGGTGTCAGACAGTGAAGTTACTGACCTCCACATAATCTGACTCACTCCTCTGTTCACTCGACGACAACCGTCTCCCTGACATCACGACACCAGAGGCCCTGACTCATACGCGCCCACACACACACACACACACACTAGATAAGACACACACTCACGCCTACAGAAAACACGCCAGTCTTACCTGTGTGGTTGGAGAACTGGACGGAGTTAATGGAGTCCACCTCAAAACCTAAAACCTGGAGACAGAGAGAGGAGGCAGATGTCAGGAGCGATTAGGAGCAACGACCACACTGTGACGGCTCCGGTGCATTTAATTACAGTCGTATAGTTCACACTCCTACACACACACAATTTACACACAGTGCCCACGATGGAGAAGTAATTGGACACTTGGTTTTTTGGGCAGCTGTGGGTCTTTGAGACTGGGACATTTTGTGTCTCTTCTTTGTAGTTTGCGGTTGTTTTGCATCCTTGGTCATTTTTCAGAGTTTGGCAGTTGTTTTGTCTCTTCATGGTGGTTTCGCAGCTCTTGACAGTCATAATTTCTGCTGTTTATCATCCCTCTCTGGTTGTTTAGAGTCTTAATTGAGCTCTTTGACTTTCAAAAAGTAATAATATCAGATACTTCATACAGAAGCTTGAGCCCAGAGGCTCCTCTCATACCCCCTCAGCAAGTGAGAGAGAGAGAGACACATGACTCATCCACGTGCACAGACAATCGTTATCTGAATTACTTTATTTAATTGGACAGAAGCAGGAAGGAGGACGGGTTAATGAGTCCTTTGTTCTCTTCAATTGACTGTAACTTTGAGATACAAGGATGTGCTTTCAGTGGGGACAGGCAGAGACACCCCCTGAATAAAGGAGCGTAGATATTAACTCCGACCTTGGAGTGACTCGCCAATGCTCCTGCTGATGAAAATAATCTCCAGTGTGGAATACGGCTCCTCAAAGATGAAATCGTGTGTTTGTATCACCAGCGGGAGGCTTTCAGGAGACCAGCCGAGCTCTCCGTGGTGTGAGGCAAACAGGACATGACGTTATGAGTCAGTGGTGTAGGAACACACTCCTGGAGGAGAAGTATGGAAGATGAAACCTTTGAGATTTTCTTATCTGATGGTAAAAGCACAAACAACATCCTTTTCCGTATAATCTCAAATCCCTCCTCAACAGGGAGGTCAGAGGTCCTGCGGTGGAAATTAAGACTCTTAGAGCAGATTACTTTTTCTAAAAGTAGTTCGACTGACCATTAAAGATCTAATCAATTCTTTTGGATTTTTTTTAAAAATAGGATAGGGTAGGATTTTGTATTTATTTATTTAACCAAACGTGGAATTAGCTCAAACCTAAAACCATTTTAAAACCGTATGTGATCTGCATGTGGTTCTGTAGATGGTTCCATTAAGTCATGAACGATATATTGGTCTTTAAAGATGAAAAACAGATTCTCTAAGACGTGTCTATTTGCAGTTCGACAGTTTTAGCAGCGGGACTCGAGAACATAACCTGTCTGTCACAAGATGTTCCTTCGGCGGAGCAGGAAGGAAATTGACTGTGGATGTAAAAGCGTGTTTCTGATGTTCATGGGGCTAAGAATATGTTATTTAGGTCACATCCTTTCTCACCGTTCATAAGCCTCAAGTCTGTTTACAAAGCTGCTGAATGAAAAGCTTCAGGCATCGACGGAGGCTGAAGACAGGATATTTATATTTTGATAAAAAGTTCACATTTGGCTTTTCTGGAAAACACTTTGGTTAATTGAGGGAAAATGAGCGAGCTTCTTTAATTAGCATGTGTCACAACACAGGCTGATCAGATCTGAGTCAACACAAACACTAAATTTACTGACTCCTCCTGTACCTTCACATCTAATCTGCACCTTATTCAACTAAACCTCAGTGCTGCTCAGACCAAACATTTACAATTCTGTAATCTACAATATTTCTATTTAACCTTTAAAATGAGAAAATAAAACTGGGTAATATACGCGTCAAAGCTACAACATGATGTTTCCAAGTTATGTCTTTGTTTGACAGAAGTAAAACAAGTATCTACCGAGTGCGAGCGGCTCTCTGAGGATGTAGCCTACTGCTAAATGCTAATGCCAACATGCTAACATGTTCACATAGATTATATCAAATGGACGACATGACGGCTCCTCAAAAGCGAAGCCAGAACATCTGGATCTCTTCCGGGTGGCTGGCTGCGGAATCGCTCATAAACCCCACATGCTCCATGTTCGCGGATGGGAGATGAACTAAAATCCAGCGCTCACAGTTACATTTAGTTTCTATGTGAAAGCTGAATGAGTCTGGCTCTGAGGCCGCCTGTCTCCATCTTCAGTGACGTCGTCAGGAGGAATCCTGTAGCAGCCAATCGCAGCCCTGCTTCCTCACAGCGCTCCTGACAGGCCAGAGATTCTCCATCCTGACAGCAGAGTGAGAAAGGGATACCCTGCACGCTCGCTGACATCATCATCATCATCATCATCATCGTATCCCTCATCTTCTGCACCGGCTGAATCATGGTCATTACTCTGAAACATGAGAGCAGCTCACTGACCCGTGGGCTTTCTGTTTAGGAGTCGATATTTAAAACCCTGTCAGGTCTTTTTCCGATACCATCGATACCATCACACTTCATCCATTTTGATATTTACACATTTTGGAAAATAATTTAAAAAACCACATGAATAATAATAATAATAATAATAATAATAATAATAATAATAATAATGTAGAACGTGAACTTAACTGGGAGAACCTTGGTTAGAATGTAGAGTTTATTTCACTGTTTCTGCTCATTTCAGTGTTTTGTTAAATCTTGACTGTGCCGCACTTGTAAACATTGTTTTAACGAGTCCTCAGTACAAACTGACCTCGATCAGCCGTAGTACAGTTGAACGTTAGCGGCGGAATCTTGAGTGACGTGCATCAAAGCCCAGCAGCCATTAGGACAACCGCGAAATACATCCAGGCCGCTGCGAGCTAAAAATAGACTCAGCACTTCTCACAAGTCTTTCAGGATGATGGGACGTAGGCTCTCTCAGTCTCAGCATCGACACTCGGTGCCACACGCAGGAAAATATTAAACTATAACAATCACCAGCATCGTCGTTCAGCAATTACCGGTCCCCAAAGCAATCACTGGTTTCATCCCACGGTCGACATTAGGGATCATAAAGGGAAATGATGATCTCTTTCACAGCCAGGAGGAGCCGATAACCTCTGTGTCCCTTCACACGATATCAATTCAACGGCTTGTTCTGAATGCACCTGCTCCTTTTTGGCTCTGGAGGCTCCTATAAAACACCCTGTAAACTGAACCTTTAGGTAAGAGCTTCATTACGACTGTTGATAGAGGTAATGACTCAACGCCAAAGTCATTTGTTCCTATTATTAAACTAAAGAGCAGGACACATGTTGAGCCACTCAGACGCTGTGCTCAACAGTTCTTCATCCGCAAGTGCTTCACAACCCAGGTTACAGCCCGCCCGTTTCTCCGGGGGGGGGGGGGTCACAGTTAATATTCATTACAAAAATAGAAACTGTAAATAAAATGAGAAAATGCCTCCGTCCAGGCCAAACAGTCCCTCTCACAAGAAAAACATGAATCATTCTACGAGAGAAAAACTCCAGATTTAAAAATGTTTAACAAAGTAAAAAATAAATCCTGGATCTGAATTCTTTCCAAACCTCATCATCTCTCCTCTGAGTTCCTGTCAATCTAGTTTTCCACTAACAGACAAAAACAAACTGAAAATCTTTTTCCAACTGTTTAACAATTAACTGTCCAGTTCATCATTAACTTAATGTAAAGCACATGTTTCTCTGGTCACGCACCAGCTCGCCGATGGACTTTATGAACTACAGCAATGATTCACAGCTATAAGGCTCGAGTGTTCCCGGCCTTTCTCGTCCCCCTCTCCCCTACTTCACCCTCTCCACTGTCCCTCTCTCTTCTCTCCCCTCTTTTCCAACCATCTCTCCTCTCCTCCCCCGTTTTCTTTGCTCACCCCAACCGGTCGAGGCAGATGACGCCCACACTGACTCTGGTTCTAGAGGTTTCTCTCTGTTAATGAGGGAGTTTTTCCTCCACAGTCTCAAAGTGCTGCTCATTGTTCAACTGTTGGGTTTCTCTAGATTTAATAGGATTTTAAGGTCCTGACCTTCTCTGTAAAGTGCTGAGCTGTCTATATATAACGTTACAATAAGATGTGATACAGTTATATTACAGTGATCTGTCAAGTAGAGCTGAACAGAGCGGCCTCTAGTCTGTATGATGAGAATAAAAATGTATTTGTCCTTGCTCTCTCTCTCTCTCTCTCTCTCCCAGGATGTGGACTGAGGCACTAGGAGCCTGTTTCAGGTGGCTTTCTCCTTCCATTCCACTTCCGGTCTATTGCCATTTTGAAAATCCTCTTCGCTACAGGAGACAACCTCCAAACTGACGACCTGCAAATCCGCACGTTGAAATCAGCAAATGTAGAAAAAGATTAGGATCATACGTTCTACATTCCTCTTACACCTGTCACTGTTATTTGAGGGCCACAACATTTTGTTTTCTGAAGCTGAATGATAATGGATTCATTCATTCTCCGGTGCCGACACAGTGATGACACAGTGACGTGGAGACAAGTCTGTCATCGTCTCACTGACCACCACAAACACAAGGACTGTCAGCTCACTGATCACCTGCCAATCAGGCTGCACACAACAGCATGATGTGTGCATGGTGGGGGGGGGGGGGGGAGACAGGGCTCGCTAACCCTCCCCAGTCCCACTGCCAACCAGGTGATGGTAAATAATAACCATGGTACAAAATAAAATGGTGGACGAAGGAAGCAGAGGCTGGTTTCACGTGAACACAACTGAGAGCTGTGAAGTTTGTGATGTCGTCACCTTTGTAACACACAGTTAAGATTCTTCTGTGGATCAGCTGAGAAACCAGAAAACATCTGTAACAATGACTTATCCATCCACTGCACGTATGACGTATGATGAGGTCCGTCCAGATGTTCCCACACACACACACACACACACACACACACACACCATGATCTTTCCAGCTGTGCATGCTCCTCTCTGTGTGAGCTCCTCTTTGACCTGAGCTGTGAAACCTTCCTGGTGACCGTCAGAACCAGTAGGGGTCATTGGATTCACACCGGGTGATCCAGAACCACACATCTGGGAACATCTGGACCGACACGACCGTAACACCGTCTGATGTGATTCACCCTCAGGTCACATGTTTGATTTCTCCTGATGGACGATAAAGACTGGAGGGGGGGGACTAAACACCTCCATCCATTATCGGACAGCCTCAATGACAGAGTGTTTCTCTCTCAGCCTGAGTTCTTCCTTCACGAGCAGATTAATTGTTGGTTAAAGGTGAACACGTCGCCTGTATGTTTGAGGACACCTGTCCCCGGCTGTCTCCTCTGACGTCCCCGGTGCTGCCCGCGGCTATTTTCGGCTTTTTCTCCGAACCGACACACTAAAAATAACAGCGGGGCTAAAGCGCGTCAGCGACGGGCTGGACTCCAGCTCGCACCGCGGTGGTTCAGCGAGATGACGGGCTAACTGACAGAGGATGCTGCGAACTTGAAATCGATGACACTGATTGTTCATTTTAACGCGGTCCCTCGGTTTGTCGCGGAGGAGAACACCGGGGGTCAGGTCGCGTGGGTCCCCGGGAACGGAGCGCGTCAGGCGGGGCTGCGCGGTGTCCGACATTGGGTGCATGCTGAGTGTATTTACCTGTAACGGGAACGAGGCGCTCTTGTTGCCCACGTATCCCCGGACAACATGGCTCTGTATGGACAGCACACGGCACTCCATGGCGGCTCCCGGTCAGCCGAGGAGCGGGGGGGGAGATGCAGATGGTCCCGGTGCCTCAGCGACGGAGACGCCTGAACATCACCGCGCGACAAACACAGGAGGGAACGGGACCGCGCGTCCAGACGTCCGTTAGCTTGTTAGCTAGCAGGCTAACGCACCAGCGGTGTCACACGCAGGATGGCGGCGTGTGTGCGAGGAGCGCGCGTGTGTGTGTGTGTGTCGAGGTTGTAACTGGTGACGAGCGGCGTGATGAGGGGCGAACACACGCACGCACAGACACACACGCACAGTTCTGCACACACACACACGCACACGATTCTGCACAGGCAATCTGAGCGACCGCCTATAACTGGATGACGTCAGCACCGAGCGCATCCTGACGGGCACATCTGGATTTGAATGAACGTGACCATCACCTCTCCTCTCGTTGGTTCCGTTCTCCTCCATCGTGTGAATCCACGCAGCCGAATTGTTCCCAACGATCACCCGCATCGATTCATTGATCAAACGGGTGTTTGCCCTGCGAAAATCCAAGAGGAACGCGATAGAAGTTTTATTTTGACCTGCTTTTAGAATGGAGTCTGGTGCTGCGCTTATTTTGTGTGTGTGTGTGCAATCTGTGGTTGTGACTCACACCGTGTTTATTACAAAGTCGTGACTGAGGAGGGGGTGGTGGTGGTGGTGGTGGTGGGGGGGGGGTGACTTGGAAAAGACTGGCTCTGTCACCACATCCAGCAGCGATGAAGAGAGGACAGAGCGTGTGCAGAGAAATACAGAGAACAAATTCAACCGAGAGAGAAATGAAAGCATGAGGGGATAGAGACAAGAGGCAGACAGATGAAGACGGTCACCTGCTGATCACTGAGGCCTGGAACACTGTGTCACGATGCTGTAATTGCAGGTCGCACACGGTGGTGAGAGTAAATCACAACTTTGTTCGAGTCTAAGTTGAGTCCTGATATCAGTCTAGACATTTCATTGCTCGGGTCACAGAAGTTAGAAGTCATATGAAATCCTGATGATCAACCACAGTTTACTGTTACTTACATTTACATATTAATGAAAGCTGTAACAGCGTTTTGGACCAGAAGACCTTGCACACCACGGTTCTTCTTTTCCACCATTGCTAACATTATTTAATAATACTGAGTATAAAAGTCAAGTCCCTACGAGTGATCTGTCAAAAGTCTCTAATTATTGTTAGTTAAGAAAGTCTGATTTAAATCACCTCGTGTGACACATCCCCAAACTCTTAAAAAGACCAGACTTAGTCTTTTGAAAGTTCTGCTTTAATAAAATAAAACACTTCATTCCTCTTCTCCATTTCTTCAGGTCAATTCAAAGCAGAGGAGGATGAACAGCAGGAAGTAGAAATTCATGAATCATTTTGGGTCCTGGTCCATTTCGGGCTCTAGAAAGAAAACAACACAATAAGAAAATGAGTTTATATGATTTTAGTTTGACACTGTTTATATTTTAATGAGTGTGTGCGGTGAAAATGTGTGTGTGTGTGACTGACAAATGACTGGTTAATCTAAATAACTGTGAAAGGGACATTTACTTCCGGGACATGAAATGGTGACACGGTGTCCCTGAGGGTGAAAACACAACCACATTTCACAAACAGTACAGGGACTGAACCTCTCTCTACCCTCCACGTCTCTCTCACCGGTGAAGGTGAACTGAGGGAAGCTGCTCAGGTCTCCTCCTCCATGAAGTCTCTGGAGCTTTGCCGTCTCCTCTGACAGGTGACGCTCATAATCAGAGTCCACCGCCACTGGTCCTCCACTCGACCTGAGAGGAGACAACATGTCCAACGTGGTACAAAACTTACTTAACCTTTAAATAAGCAGGAAACCTACATCCTACATTTTCTCTGTTCCGAGACACATCTGATCAAATTATTCAAAGACGTTTTATATAAAAACCAATATGACAGGAAACTTCTTTGGCGTCTCTACCTGCGCAGGTTGTTGTATTCTCTGATCTTCTCCAGGAAAAGTCTCTGGACTGGATCCAACTCTTCACGACACACATGAAAACATTCAAGTTAAAAACATCTGTCATGGAAAATTCTGCAAAACTCTTTAGAATCATTTTATTGAGAAACTGTAGTTGTTGTTCAACTTCTGTTTGTGTGTTACACAAGTGTAAGTTGCACTGGATATAACTTCTATCTTCCACCTTCTCATCTTTTCTTCTCCTTATAGTCAAACGTACCGTCTGAAGTATTCGCTCCTACAACCTCCTGGTCGACCTGAGCTTCTGAAGCTCCTGCTGCTGTGACAGGAACAGTAAACAGCAGCTCCTCCATCAGTGCATCAGTCTGCAGATCTTCAGCCAGAGACAGAGACTCGATGTCCAGAGCCTCAGTGATCTCCTCAGACTTCGCTCCTTCCTCCACCTCCGTCCTCGTCTCCCCAGCGAGAACTTCAGCTTCATTCTCCAGATACACGGCGGTTTCACTCAGGGACTCGTGCTGCAGAGTTCCCAGAGAGGCCTCGACTTCAGCCAACGTCACAAACTCTAGAGACATGGCCTCCACGACTCTTCCCTCCTGCTGAGCTGATTCTTTTTCTGCTTCCTGAGTAACAATCATTTCATTCTGCAGCAGCGACGGAAGCAGAGACTCCGGCCTCTGCTCTTGCTCAGAGAAAAACATGGCTTCCATCATAGAAGGAATCTCAGCTTCTATCACATCAGCTGCTTCAGAGATGGAATCGAACATTATAATTTCAGCCTCTGCTGCGTCACTATAAACAACGTCCCCTGTCGCCATCTTCACCTCCATCTTCTCCTCCATCTTCTCCTCTTTGGCCAGAGCATCAGCTTCTTTCTCAAGCGCATCACTTGTTTCTTGCAGGGCTTCAGTTACGAGACTTTCGACTTCAGCCTCCACCTCAGATAAAGTTATGGATTCAAGTGTCATGGCTTCTTCTTCAACCTCCTCTCCCTCCACACACGCAACATCAGCTCCCGGAGTTTGATCAGAGGCTGAACTCGTTTTTATCGCTTCATCAGTTTCAGGAGGCGCCGCAGGAATTCGACAGACAAGCTCTGTCATCAAAGTGGCGGTTTCTCCCTCCAGCTGTTGAAGGTCGTCAGGCAGAGAGCTCCACTGTGAAAGAACTCGAGACAAAACTTCCCCCTCGTCCTCACCTGAGTTCTCAGCTTTGGCCGCAGCTTCGTGGTCTCCACCGACCAACAACTCCTGCAGTCGTTCCTCTATCTTCTCATCGAGGGTAAACTTTGTTTGGAGGAGCTCGTCTGCTTTCAGAGAGTCCACCGAGGTTTTCACTGAATGCAGCGTCACAGACTCTAAAGTCATCTGTTCAGCTTCGCTCTCCTCCTCTTCGACAGAGACTTTCCCTGAGGAGGATTCTACCGTCGACTCTACTTTGGTTTTTAAAGCTACAACTGCAGGTTCCTGTGCATTTTGGTCAATTTCTACTGTACGTTCAAGAACGGCAGCTTCACCCTCTAGAGCAGAGGTCACGGACTCCACTGGTGGTTCTTCTGTACTTTCTAATGAAGGGAATAGTGTTGCAGAGTGTGGGACGTTGACTGCTCCAGAGTCAGTGATGTTTTCTTCTGTCTGAGCTGCTTTAGCTTCTATTGTAGTTTCAGGTGTAACCACAGGGGCAGGAGTGGCGTCTCCTGTAGTTTCTAATGAAGGTTCTGCTGTTGTCGTGTAGGAGACGTTGATGACTTCCAGCTCCACGCTCGTGACTTCTCCTCTTTCATCCACTGATCCTGCAACAGACGCTGTAGTTTCCTCTGTTTCTACTGGGGGAAGTCTGACCTCTACTGGTGAATCTATTGTAGTTTCTATCAATGTGACGTCTATCATAGATTCTGCTGAACCTTCAGGAGCTGCTACTCTCTCTGACGTTTCCTGAGGAGCGGTGCTTGTGTCTGCTGATGTTCCTGTTGTAGTTTCTACTGAGGGTTCTGCTGTGAACAAGATGCCCACCTGTCCTGAATCTGTGGCTTTGGTTTGTTCTTCTGCAGCTGCTGTTTCTACTGTGACGTCTGTCAGAAGCTCTACTGGAGTTTCTACTGCCTCCACAGGATTAATACTAGTCTTTACTGCAGTTTCTCCCGAGGACTCTACTACGGTAGTGTATGTGGTGCCCTCGTCTCCTGAATCTTTGCTCATCACTTGTATTTTTGGAGCTGTATCTACTGTGACGTCTGTCGGAGGCTCTACTGGACCTTCAACAACTGAAGCCTGAGTTTCTAAAGCTTCTACAAGAGGATGAGTCGACTCTGTTGATGGTTCAGTTGCAGTTTCTACTTTGGTTTCTATTGTTTGGGCTGAAGTTTGGCATTCTGCTGAAGCCGCTGCAGATCCAGACGTTGGAGGAGCTGAGGTTGTAGAAACAGCATCAGCAGTGAAGTCCTGGATGAAGCCAGGAGGAGGACGCTGAGGCGTCTGTGTGGAAGATGCTGCTGTTTGCTGAGGGGAAAGTGCTGCAGGGTTTAAAGAAGATGTTGTTGTAGACGAAGCAGGAACAACAGAAACTGATGGATTTTTTTTTGACAAATGAGGAACATCTGAGGTGGAGACATTTGCTGAGGAGATGGTTGAGGCTTTGGAGGGAGGAGAGAAGAAGAGATGAGGAAGAGGAGGAAAAAAAACAAATATAAAGGACTGTAAAACAAGAAGCAGAACAAATCGCTTGAAAAAAAATGAACATTTTACCAACTCGGCTGAAAAACAATAACCAGAAACTACTTTCAGACAATTGTTTCATTCATTTCTCAAGTAAAATGGTATAAAATCCCAATATTTCCATCTTACAGGAGAAGATTGACTTTGTAATACATCACTGTTAACTGGAAAATGTGCAGATTCTTACTTTTAATTGAACAAAAGCCATTTGGTACATAAAAACTTCTACCAAACATGAATCATCTCAGCTAAACTTTATCTGCAGATTGGTCAATAATGCTCTACACAACATCCTCGATGTACTGACCTTTACCAGCACCTGGGGGCGCTGTGCCTGGCCTCCTTTGAGAGAACAGCTGTTCCAGGAGTTTAGCAACATCGACCGCAGGCTGAGGTTTGGCTTTTTCTACCAGTAAAAACATGTTGAGAATCAAACTGCTGATCGTCGCTTCTCTTCAAAATATTCTTTCACTGGCAGCTTCATTTGGTGAAGATAACAAAAATAAAAACTTCCATGCAGAGATAGGATGTTTGAAAAATGACTAGTCACCATCTCAAAACATTTAAAGAACGACTTAATCCTTATTATAAATGCTTAAACTAATACATATGACTAGAATACAGTGATAGTTGAGATTCCACATGATAGAAAATCACACGCACGATTGTCTTTCTTACTGATGTGAGTTCTTCGTGGTTTTCTGTCTGAAGGTGTGGAGCTGAGCTGAGCCGCCTGCGGCCTCCACACAACTCTACACAACTCTCTGTGAAGACACTGGACACACGCCATCAAAGTGAACACACAGAATTCAATTATCAGATGCACTTGGTCATTTAAAATCCAAATTTCAATTCCAAACTGCTACATAGAAAAAGAAAAGAACATTTTACATCTGACGACACACAAAGTCTGATATTCACTGTAAAAATACAAATTCTGGCTTCTAAGTTTCATATACTACAC